GTCCCATAGTATGCTGATATGTAAATAGGAAATTGTGTTAGAAAAATCCCCACCAATTTAACTACTAAGAACGAAGAAGAATAAGAGTAGGGATATAAAGGTTAATAGTTCATGTACATCAATCCCCCATCCCCACCCTTTGACCTATATCATCTGCGCCTGTATGGCCACCTAATCCACTACAAGCCATACAATCTCCAGTAAATGACAACACTTGTTTCTTTTTACGTAGACACTCACTTGTCAAAGTTTAAAAAAAAAAACAACCCCAACAAACTAAAACACTCAGCCCGTGTCGTCTACAGGTCATTTCACCACTCCAGACTTCCAGAGTTTCTCGTTCTTCGGGCCGGCATCCCCCGGTGCCTCAGACGTTGACCCCCAGATGTTCCCCGTCCAGTTCACCCCGCCCTACTTTGACTGCGGCGGTGCCAACAAGTGGGTGGTCAGTGCCGTCTCGCCTGTGGTGGACTTCATGCCTCGATATTCGAACTTCACCCACATGCGGAGACCGAGGTACCATCCTCCCTCCTCCCTCGAACTCTATGTATGGTTTTACTACGTTATTTAACAAAACTTTCACATACAACATATTTTAACTGACGCAGTTTTATATATCAGTATGAATGAACTTACAAGTGACTTCTTAATTTTTTTTTACCCTTTCGGACATGGTGGTCCATGGGTAGATGAAGTAGAGTTCATCTGGTACCTCAGTAAATGATGGGATAGTGTGGTATCCTTACTGAGAAGAACCAACAAACCTTCCACCATAATGCTCACAAAACTGTTACTAATTTGTTACCAAAAAAATGTAAGCCCCTGACGTTTTTAACATCAACAAGCTAAATGTTGGCTTGACAAGAGGAGGTAGCTCTCATGTACAATATTGTACGGCAGGTTCATCGGCCTGATTGTGATGGACATCGATCTCAACAAAATTGATTTCAACCCGTGCGGACTCAGCCCCGGCAACCCAGGACCCAGTTACCTGGCTGGGATAGACAGGTGCAAGCCGACCACATCGGTAAGGTCAAGGTTACCTCTAGGTAAACTGGATTTCACACGGGGTTGAGGAGTAGGCATGGGCATAGTATGTGATATTGGGCCCAAAATGATGGGGTACGGGGCCCAAAATGATAGTGTAAAGGGCCCAAAATGATGGGATATGGGGCCCAAACTGATGGGGTATGGGGCCCAAAATGATGGGGTAAGGGGCCCAAAATGATGGGGTATGGGGCCCAAAAGGTTGGGGTAAGGGGCCCAAACTGATGGGGTATGGGGCCCAAAATGATTGGGTAAGGGGCCCAAAATGATGGGGTATGGGGCCCAAAATGATGGGGTAAGGGGCCCAAACTGATGGGGTATGGGGCCCAAAATGATTGGGTAAGGGGCCCAAAATGATGGGGTATGGGGCCCAAAATGATGGGGTGAGGGGCCCAAGCTGATGGGGTATGGGGCCCAAAATGATGGGGTAAGGGGCTCAAAATGATGGGGTATGAGGCCCAACATTATGGGGTATGGGGCCCAACATGATGGGGTAGGTGGCCCACAATTATTGGGATATGGGGCCCAAAATGATGGGGCCCAAAATGATGGGGCCCAAAATGATGGGGCCCAAAATGATGAGATATGGGCTTCATTACAAGTGGAAATGTGGTAACCAGCTGTAAAAGGATATAGCAATTTAAAACGGTTAAAGAGTCGATATTCTAGTTTATAAAGCATTTTTAATATCATTAGCATCATTATTTCCTTATCAATAGTTTTTTGTTAATCCCTGACTTGCGGTTCCTTGAATCATATCAAAATGTGGATGACATGATGTCCTGCAAGTCTCACGTCCACATAATATAGCAAACGGATATCCAAGGTTGTATCTAGTGGATGGGGGTGGTGGGAGGAATGCGATTTCTTTCATGCGCATAATTTATAAAAGGAATAGAGTGACCGACAAATTATATACTTAAGTGTTAAAAACAGCAGCGTATTCTTAATCTAGGGATGTGTAAATCAAAAATACTTTTCATACTGTACATTCGTAGAGTAAGATATACATACATATATATATATATATATATATATATATATATATATATATATATATATATATATATATATATATATATATATATATATATTAATACGTAAAGATATGTAAATTAAAATGTCTTTTGTTATTATGCTAAGGTATGTGATTACTTGTAACAACGACTGTTCCATAAAAGCCTTGTTTAATTAACATTATCCTGGAATTGCTTGAAGCGAGAGATTGAGATGTTTCAACAATGACGATATAGTGCATTGATATACACCGTTTAGGTTTAACTCTTAACTAGTGAAGTTTTAACTCTAACCTTGTCTCCCCAGTGTAAACACGTGGCCGGGTTTGGGTTAAAGCGCGGGAGTTACACGTGCGTGTGTAAGCCTGGCACGCGCTGGCCGTGGTGGCATGACGCACCGTACCGGGGGGTGGACATCGAGCAGGCCACGGAGGATGAGTACACACAGGGATTCACGTGCTTAAAGAACCAACGTGAGTTGTCTTTCTTTGTTCATCATTATCATCATCGTCATTCCTATTTGCACCTTGTAGAGGATAGTGACGCAACCAAACCTCTCCATCGACACGGTTATGGGCGATTCCTTCAAGTTGGGCCCACAACATTCCGGCTTCTTCTGCTTCACTTACAACTGATCTTTTCCACGTTTGTTTTGATCTCCCTAGTTCAATTTCATAGGGATTCCAATCTAATAGCTCCCCTATTGATGTTGCTAGTTTGTTTTCGCAGGGTGTGTCCCATCCATCCCCATTTGCGTTTTTGTATTTCTTTCCCAATAGGGTCCTGTCCAGTTTATCCCAACAGTTCGGCATTTGTAATTTTTTCAGACCACCTGATGTTCAATATAAGTCTTTCTTTGAAAGGTTTTCACAATGCCTCACAAAAGTTTTACCTGTTTTACAATCAATACCTCACACACACAAAAATAATTTGTTTTTACCATCCCAGTTCTTCAAGTTATGCCAGTCGTTGACCAGCTGCCCAGCATCAAGCTACAAGGCGGAAGTGACATCACTAACACTCTACAAGCTCACCTGGCACGTGTCAAAACATGGATCAGCAGTACAGGTAAAAACTTATACGGATTGTAAAACAACAGCTACTGTAATAAAATAAATCACGGTGTAACAAAGTTACATAACTGAAGATCTTCTTCAGACCTGAAGATCACAAAAACAGTTGAAGTAAACATTTACCTGTAACTTCATTATAGTCAGCCAATCCACTTATGCTATGAGGGGTACTCAATAGAGCTAAGTTGCCTCATCAATGAGTCCGGGATTCGAATTGGTCAAGATATTTGGGTTAGCTGATGTGTGTTCTAACGCCCGACTAGCCTGTCATAAACAAAACTGCAAACTGTATTCATACAATCTTAGCCTTTTTTTTTCTCTCGCGTAAGACTTAACTACTTCTAACTTGGTATGCTTGTCTTTTCACTTTCTCGTATATTCGAAGTAGGCCTATAGAGAAAGTATTGTAATCGTGCAAAAAATTTTTTTGCAAATCTCGACGTTTTACACCTCACTGATACGGAAAAACATAATTTTGCAATCTTGTCCGTATGTCTGTGTGTCTGTGTGTGTGTGTGTCTGTGTGTGTTTCTGTGTGTAAACACGATAACTTGAGTACCGTAACAGCTAGGTTGATGAAATTTTATATATAAGTATTTCATCAAAATCGTAGATCCTGATCAACTTTTGAGCGATTTCCGATAACCGGAAAAGGTACTTTTTCTACTTTGAATTTTTCAAAAGCCTATAACTTGAGTACTATTTCACATAGATAAATGAAATTTCACATGTAAGTAAAAGATCTAATTCTCCAACTTCTTAAAAATTGTGAGTAATTTCCGTTGACCGGAAGTACTAATTTACGCTATTTTCGATTTCTCAAAAAACGCATGTAAATTTATTTAGTACTAATAATATTGCGCACTATTATGCACATTTTGTTTTGGCGTTTGCTTGGTGCGCAATTCTTTTTTCTATGAGATTTTATTCTATTTTTAAAAGTTTAAGTAATTAAAAATCATGTCTATATTTCAAGTTATATAAGAATATTCGAGAAAGTTTAGGGGAGATCACTCCCGGTTTATTTATTTATGTGTGGGTAAGAGCGTTTAAAATTTAAAAAACAAGACAATCCCTTGCCTTTACCGTACAATATAACCTACCTTAATACCAAGACTACGATACTCAAAAGCTTGTGTTTGTTTTGTGTAAGCTCTTTATAGTGTTTCTTTTTTAATTCTACCTTTTTCTTGCCGGTTTCAAATTAAGACTGAGATAATTCATTCGTGTAATTGCATACACACTCTTGCTGTTATCTTCATTCTAGAAATCCAAGGTTTGAATGCGTCTTTTAGACGAACAACAATTCTCAGGTAACGAACTGGAATCAAACATCAAACCTCAAGGCCTTGATCTCTTTCAACCACACATTACCCTCCCCCCCTACTCCGCCTCCGTCTCCCCCCCCCCATCACACTCCAAATGTTAAAAACGATACAATCTCATTAGGCTCGGATTACTTAATGCTAAAACATTTTTTTTTCTAAAATTCATCTCTCCACAAACACAGCCGCAAGCCAAGACTTTAATCAACACAAGACAAGCAACAGGACTCCCGTCTATGAGGCCCCCACACTCCCCAACACACCGCTAGACACCCACAGCAGAATCTCAGTGCACGACGTTCAGGCCTGGAATGAAAAGTTGAATGTCATGTTACTGGAGCAGATGCGCCGTAGGACATCAAGCACCGCGGGGATGGAGGGAGGTGGAAGTGGGTACAGCGTTTATGAGATCATGCGATTGGTGGATCGTCTGCGTGACTTTCAGGTACCTTCCAGTGGATGCCGATAGTATCAGTTAAGGTTGAGGTTAATTTAAACGTTTGTTATCCTTTCGTAGGTAGTTATTATCATACTAGTTTTAGGTTAAATGAGCAGCTGTTTTGCAATTTGATAGTACTTGGGATTTGGGAATGGGGGAGGGACTGGAGAAATATATAACATCAGGAAAAGGAAGGGTGTATTTTAAAGGACATGTGACTTTTACCCATGTTTTGTGGATGAGAATATTACTTTGTGAAGTAGTGTGTCGTGGAGGGGGTATTATATTATGTGTGTGTGTATATATATATGTGTGAATTGTGGAGGAAGGTGGAATTTTATTTTGTAAAGACGTGTGTGTTGTGGAGGAGGGTAGCCATGTAATTGTGTGTGTGTGTGTGTTGTGGAGGAGATGGGGGCATTTTATTTTGCGAAGACGTGCGTGTGTGTATGTATTGTGAAAGTGTTGATAACGGTTCGATAAACAAAAACTTACATATTTTGCTGAAGTTTTTTTTTTTATTTTTTTACATCCTAAGCGCCAGCTTTTGGGTAGTATATAAGAATTAAGATACAACAACATAGGAATAAAAATACCAAATTAGTTCACATTGCCAGCACAAACATCATGCAATACATGAATAATTTCTTGCCAAAAAAATTACTTTTTTACAACCACTTCATACGTTTGGTTTTGGACCTTATTCCTGAAATATTGAACTGCAATCATAACGTTTTAGAAAATTGTTACATCATGTTCATATAACTTGTTCTCGTTTATTTTAGCTAGTAAACAATATTTTTTCCCCTCAGGGAAAACGTCACATAAATCAGTCAACGACTTGTCCCGATAGAGATTCGTGTATCCACACAGTGGATAATTACATCCAGAAAAATAATGTCGACGTGGATTTAGAGAGAGAATATCAGGTAAGATTAACACGACAAAATCACGATGGTGAATGTCTACAGAAGGTTTACAAATTTGTCTTCAACAAGAGAGAGACATTTGTTTTAAAAACTCATGTTCAAAAGAAACACAAATGATTCCATTCGCTTTAATTTTATCATCAGAAGGACAATTTCTTTGATAAAAATCGCATCGCTTTATCGTAACTAGATTTATTTTTAGTTCTTTAAAGAATTTTTTGAGCAGACACTGTTTTGTTTCGTTAGGAATTATTATAATTTTTCTGCTATTTAAAAAAAAATTATAGCTTTTCTTAGTTGTTTACTTAACGTAAAAGAGTTGTTATTTTCCCCTATTGACCAATACATTGTCATTAAAGCATTTGCCTCTCTACAGAGAGATGTCAGCAAGTACAGAACTTTTAAAAGGAATCTCCGGGAGTCAGGGAATCCTGGCAATGTTACAGGGTGTCTCAAAATGTTGGCTGACAGAGTCACGTGGTTACGTCAACGGCATGAGCAGCGGTACTGGCAGCAGGTTCAAGGTCAGCACGCGCGCAGGAAACGTGCGTCGGTGTTTGATGAGGGCTCGTACAACAGGTCAGCCGTGAGTTTGTTACGTGGGTCATTTGGTGGGTCAGTCGGTGATTTGTTACGTGGGTCACTTTGTGGGTCAGTCGGTGATTTGTTACGTGGGTCAGTTGGTGGGTCAGCCGTGTATTCGTTACATGGGTCACTTTGTGTGTCATTTAGTGATTTGTTACGTGGGTCGTTTGGTGGGTCATTTGGTGGGTCAGCCGTGCATTCCTTACCTGGGTCACTTTGTTGGTCAGTCGGTGATTTGTTACGTGGGTCAGCTCTGTATTCGTTACCATGATCACTTTGTGTGTCATTTAGTGATTTGAGACACGGGTCAATTTGAAGGCTAGTCGGTGATTTGTTACGTGGGTCACTTTGTGGGTTAGTTGGTTACTTGAGACACGGGTCAGTTTGTGGGTCATTTAGAGATTTGATGTGACAAAAGTGACAGGTATGGATAGCGTGAAGTGACAAGCGCGACATATGTAACAAACGTTATCGACGTGACAAACCTGGCAGACGTGACGAAGTGACAAGCGTGACAGATGTGACAAACATGACCTTCTTGTGTCATTGACCCAGGATGTTGAGGCTGTTCCGTCAGATCCAATCGGTGACGTCATCCAACTGCCGGCACGTGCCGAACCATCAGCTCTACCTGCCTGGTGACGTCACCTACGGAGCCCAGCAGCAGTTCGAGGCCGAGGGCAGGACGGCCTTGAGACTCTCACACTTCCTGTCGCTCTACCTCCAGGTGAGTTGATCACGTGGTCCTCTTTTGAAAACCTTGAAATACGTTTAATTCAAAAATGTTAATCTAAAAAAATTAATTAATTTGTAAAGATCACATTATTAAACCGTATGTTATAATTTCCAAAGTTGGTTTTTTTTTGCGTTTCCATCCCATAAGTCTCCACTAAGTTGTGTTGTTTGTTAAATCTTATGTTTAACTAGTCAATAGCGTCACAAGGCTAGGGCGAGGTGTACGATCAACACTGAGTGATACCAATAATCGGGGTGACACCGATTCGAAAAAATGGTAAATTTATAGTCAAAACAATTTTTTTAAATGTAATATTAAAATAGTAGGGGGAGAGGGGTGACACCAAATTACAAATGCAAAATTATTGAAGGAGGGGATGAGATCCTCAGTTGTTGCACCGGGTGACACCCGACCTAGTAACGCCACAAAAATAATAAATATTGTTATCACTTCTGACAATGGATTACTGTACTATATCCACTGCCACCGATGGATTTCCCCCCACTTCACGTCTTAACATCATCGCGAGAAATCAAATTTCTCGTAAATCGAGTCAGCGCCAACATCAGAAATTACACCTGACTGAACGCGATAATTGAACAGGCTGATTTTTTTCTCCCCAGCAACCGTTTGCCTCGATCAAGGGCGGCAACTCGGGAGGTGCTGGACCTCGTGTGCACGATGACCACCTGTTTGGGGAGGTCGTGGCCAACGTCATGGGGAACTTTAGGATTCTGGCGGCAGGTGTCTTCTTTAACAGGTGAGTGGGGGGGGGGGGGGGGGAACTTGAGACTTCTGGCGGCAGGTGTCTTCTTTAACAGGTGAGTGGGGGGGGGGGAACTTTAGACTTCTGGCGGCAGGTGTCTTCTTTAACAAGTGAGTGGGGGGGGGGGGGGAACTTTAGACTTCTGGCGGCAGGTGTCTTCTTTAACAGGTGAGTGGGGGGGTAGACTTCTGGCGGCAGGTGTCTTCTTTAACAGGTGAGTGGGGGAGTGGGGTGGGTGGGACTGGGTGGGTGGGTGGGAAGGGGGAACTTTAGACTTCTGGCGGCAGGTGTCTTCTTTAACAGGTGAGTGGGGGGGGGGGGACTTTAGACTTCTGGCGGCAGGTGTCTTCTTTAACAGGTGAGTGGGGGGGGGGGACTTTAGACTTCTGGCGGCAGGTGTCTTCTTCAACAGGTGAGTGGGGGGGGGAACTTTAGACTTCTGGCGGCAGGTGTCTTCTTTAACAGGTGAGTTGGGGGGGGGGTAGACTTCTGGCGGCAGGTGTCTTCTTTAACAGGTGAGTGGGGGGGGGGGACTTTAGACTTCTGGCGGCAGGTGTCTTCTTCAACAGGTGAGTGGGGGGGGGGAACTTTAGACTTCTGGCGGCAGGTGTCTTCTTTAACAGGTGAGTTGGGGGGGGGTAGACTTCTGGCGGCAGGTGTCTTCTTTAACAGGTGAGTGGGGGGGGGGTAGACTTCTGGCGGCAGGTGTCTTCTTTAACAGGTGAGTGGGGGGGGGGGGGGGGGACTTTAGACTTCTGGCGGCAGGTGTCTTCTTTAACAGGTGAGTTGGGGGGGGGGGTAGACTTCTGGCGGCATGTGTCTTCTTTAACAGGTGAGTGACGGGGGGGGGGGAACTTTAGACTTCTGGCGGCAGGTGTCTTCTTCAACAGGTGAGTGGGGATGGGGTGGGGGTGGGGACTTTATTGTTGACTGGGGACTGTGGGTTCATTGTTTCGAAAACCAAAAGTCCCTAGTCCTGATCCAAAGCAGACGAGTCACGTTAGCTGTTGAGTTCATGGATCTCTTGCTTGACTTTCCACAGGGACGGGTTTGTTGACCGAGACGGCAGAACCCTGGAGATGTTCGGACCCTGGGCCTACAGGAGGCAGGGGTCAGTCTACGCCCTGGACACGGCAGGACTTGCCTCCCCCTACCTGGACCAGGACTGGTTCCTCACGGCCAAGTCCAGATTTTTGACCAATGTCGCTGGTCTGGTCACGTACAAGATGAGACCTTATGTCAGGTAGGCGGGGCTATATGAGACATTATGTCAGGTAGGAGGGGCTATATGAGACCTTATGTCAGGTAGGCGGGGCTATGTGAGACCTTATGTCAGATAGGCGGGGCTATGTGAGACATTATGTCAGGTAGGAGGGGCTATGTGAGAACTTGTGTCAGGTAGGTGGGGCTATGTGAGACCTAATGTCAGGTAGGCGGGGCTTTATGAGATATGCGAGCACTTGACGAGACCATCAGAGGTGTCATTTGGGACTAGATTATAAGCAAGGACTAGTAGTTTAGACTACACATTGTGCATATTAGTTGGTCATTTATTGAGACCGCAATTCATTTTTTTTACTTGCAACATAATATAAAAATTTATATAGAAAATTATATAAAACTTACCAAAAATTAAACTCACACCAGGGCGAACCCCCAGGGAACCAGTTCCAAGCGCCACGAGAACTTCCCCCTGACGTACAGAGCCGCGCCCTATGAGCTGGGCCACTGGACCAGACCCCACTTCCGGTGTGACGGGCGGGTCGACGCCTGGGTCATCACCTACGTCAGTCCGTTCTTTGGGCTCGACTCTGTCGGGTCCAAACTCGAGTTTAGGTAGATGTTTTCTGTGTTATAGGCTAGAGTTTAGGTTGATATTTTAGGTTTTATAGGCTAGAGTTTAGGTTGATGTTTTAGGTTTTATAGGCTAGAGTTTAGGTTGATATTTTAGGTTTTATAGGCTAAAGTTTAGGTAGATGTTTTATGTTTTATAGGCTAGAGTTTAGGTAGATGTTTTATGTTTTATAGGCTAGAGTTTAGGTAGATGTTTTAGGTTTTATAGGCTAGAGTTTAGGTAAATGTTTTAGTTTTTATAGGATAGTTTAAGTAGATGTTTTAGATTTTATAGGATAGAGTTTAGGTAGATGTTTTAGGTATTAAAGGCTAAAATTTAGGTAGATGTTTTAGTTTTTATAGGCTAGTTTAGGTTGATGTTTTAGGTTTTATAGGCTAGTTTAGGTGCATGTTTTCGGTTTTATAGGCTTAAATTTAGGTTGATGTTTTAGGGTTTTTTTAGGCTAGAGTTTAGGTAGATGTTTTAGTTTTTATAGGCTACAGTTTTAGATGTTTTAGGTTTTAAAGGCTTAGGTTTAGATAGACCTTTTAAGTTTTTTTATAGGCTAGAGTTTAGCTAGACATTTTAGGTTTGTTTTATAGGGTAGAGTTTTGGTTGATGTCTAACGTGTTTTGGTTAGAGTTCAACTACATGTTTTAGGTCTCAGAGGCTAGAGTTTAAATACTAAAAACTAGAGCTGTTCTACAATTAAAAGAATACAATACAATCAAACGTTTGTACCAAAGTACCAAATCTTCTGATGTCCCCTCGACTATATATATATTATAGAGATATACGTTTAAGCCAGCTTACATGGCAACCTACTAGCATCGCTCTGTGTTGACTGACATGTATGATGATTACAGCGGCGTGACCACAGTGGAAGTGCCATTAAATCTTCTAGAAATCAACCAGTGTCCACAGCCGTTTTATGTGGCCAACGCCTTTAAAAACACGGCGCGATGTGATTACTTCTCTACCCAGGTCAGTTTTTTAAGGAAACAGGTAGGTAGGTAGGTGGGTGGGTAGGTAGGTAGGTGGGTGGGTAGGTGGGTCGTCGTGTCATTGATTTCATGTAGATACCGGACAAGGTGGGAAAGGGTTTTATGGGTCGTCCATAAATGACGTCACATTCGTAGGGGGAGGGGGGGTCCGTAATCTTGTGACGGTGTGTGATGAGGGGGATGTGGGGGGGGGGGGTTCAGATGGTGTGACGTCACACTTTTGCATTATAAAATAGCAATATAAGAAAACAAATTTTAGACGTTATTTCGCGTTTTTTAATAAATTGCAATAGGAATTGATTACAATACTCTATTTTAACAGAGTTCAGACAAGATTTTGGAAAAATATCGATGTTTTAAGAAAAATTCTACTGCAATTTTGAGGGGGGTTGTAAGATGAGGTGTGACTTCATTTTTGGGAGGGGGGGGGGTCTGGGTTGGGATATCTTAGAAATATGCCGTAGAGTACTTAATGTTATGTTTTTATGATGAACATTTTCGAGGTCGCTTTATAAGGAAAGAATGGATAGTTGTTGTTGGTAGAGGGAGGGGATGGTGTTGTGGGAGGTTCTGGAATAGCTAAACACTTAGTCTCTGAAGTTGTGTCTAATACATAAGGACGACTTATTACGCAATCGTGCACCTCCAGAAAGCTGTCTACAATATGATACCCATGCAACCCATAGAAATTTAATCATATATAGAAGGTGTTTATAAGTTTTAATTTCGAGATTTAACTGCGTATATTTAGCTACAAATCAAAATAAAATAAAACTTTCTTGAATATTCTAATCAAAACTACTAGGGATGGCAACTCAGGATAAAGACAATATTTGTAATCCATTTTTAATTACTTAAACTTTTTATAATAGAACTAGGCATGCTGCCCAGCTTCGCTTAGGCTTTCAAAAACATTGAGAATTTGAATGCTTAATTAATTCGCCCGAGGGTCGGTCTACGACCTCAGGAGTTATGAAGAGGTTCCTACGTGGACAATTTTTTTTCGATTTATAGCTCATATAAGGCGCCGGTCAGTCGAGGTCTGTTTTGACCCCCTCATCGTAGACCTTTAGGCCAACCGGCACCGGCCCCCGTGTTCTGTCGCACCAAGGCAACCAAGTTGTCGGGTGCCCGATAGGGCACTTCCCGGCGCCGCAGGCGCTTCAAATTTGGCAGGATCTTGCCTTGGGGCGACAGAACACGGGGGCCGGTGCCGGTTGGCCTAAAGGTCTACGATGAGGGGGTCAAAACTGACCTCGACTGACCGGCGCCTTATATGAGCTATAAATCGAAAAAAAATGTCCACGGAGGAACCTCTTCATAACTCCTGAGGTCGTAGACCGACCCTCGGGCGAATTAATTAAGCATTCAAATTCTCAATGTTTTCGAAAGCCTAAGCAAAGCTGGGCAGCATGCCTAGTATAAGAATATTCGAGATTGTTTAGGGGAGATCACTCCCAGTTTATTTTAAAACATGTCGAATACAATGTCTGAGACTGACAAGAGTGAATAGAGTAAATAGACAATAATTGCATGTGTATGGAATAGAATAAAATAAAAGTTATTGTTACTTTGTTCAACTTAACTATCAAAATCAATAATTGCTTTTAAAATACAATTTACCTTGAACACATTCTTTACGTAAACTTTTTTCGTTGTTAAAATACTGAAATAAATACAAGAATTAACTAAATATGAAAGAATTTTTAATTCATGATTTATTTGCTGAAGTGTTTACAATTTATTGTCTCCCTTGCTCTTGATTTTTAAATATTGTAAAGGAACGTAATTCAAACGCAATATTCATGGTGAAAAGTTTGCTTGGGGTGGAATGGGGACAAAGAGACTCAAAAATATAATGAACCTGAAATATTAATAGAAGAAATTATAGCTTCTTTTTTGGTGTTTCTGTGTGACGAGGAAAGAGGGGGGGGGGGGGTTATTGATGGATATGAACTAAATTTGCGATTTAAAAAAGTTAACAGGTCTATTGAAGATTTTTGTTTTTAAATTGTCATTTATGCAGTTTAATAAAAAATATTTATCAGTTGTAAATACAGTGATTCCTTAAAAACAAAATGTATTTTTATGAATATATATATATATATATATATATATATATATATATATATATATATATATATATATATATATATATATATATATATATATATATTTGTTACATTTATGATGTGGCTATATGCATCACTTTATGTGTATATGTTATTATGTGAGTTAATGTGAATGTAAATGTTGTAGTGTTGCTCCATGTGAATCGCTGAATACCACTCACTATGTATGTTTATGTTACGGCAGTGGTTCCCAACCTTTTTCTAGTGGCGACCCCCTTTTATAAAAATTAAGTGACCCGCGACCCCCATAGAATTAAAAAGCCAAAATTAGTATGAAAATTAATAAGCACTAAAATAAGATTTTCTATTAGACTTTCAATATGAACTACTCTTGATAACTATTTTAAAAGCATGAGTAAAATTGCATACTATTCACTAAACCTTCGTGGTTAAGTTTTTAATTAACAACCATTTTTGTTAACGCCAACCTATGTCATTATAATTATCTTAATTTTGTTTTTAATCAAAGAATAGGGTTGAAAATATATTCTCGAAAAGTCAATCAATTTTACGTTTGGGTATGAATGGTGAATACTACACCGAAATTGTGTATACAGTTTTTCATTTTACGCGGAATCATTCTGTAAATCAGATAATAATAATCTTGTAATTCATCGGGAATGCTGGCAACATCAAGGGAAGAAGAGAATGGGTAATGCGTCAATGTAGATTCTTCTTTTTTCAGCTCAGAGAAATAGCGATGCAGTTCGTTTTCAAGAGATTCAAGATGCCCAGAAATCGCTTCTTTCAAAATTTTAATTATCTCACATTCAGATTCATCTACCACACCGCAGAGTTTCTCAAATTTACAATATTTCCAAGATTTATTTTCTTTACCGATTTTACAGCTTTGATAAAAATGCCCCGAGATTATCATGGAAAGTTATAATATTCGTTCATTTTCCCTAAAGCTTCAGGTTAAGCTTATCTTGATGTTCGAACACATCTGCTAGGTATGAAACTCTCTCCAATCACTCTATGTCGTTTTAAGTATACCAAAAAGTCTTGTTTCCTTTGCACTTCCAAGAACAATTTGATTTCAGATTTCGTTTGACAGCCAGCGTACTGCAGTGTAGAAGAGCAGAACCTCGTGATCTATATCAATGTTTTTGCACAGTTCTTTGAAGGCTCCAGATTTTATATAATTTACGACTTATACTAGCAATGGACTATTGGTGTCGATTGGTTAGGGCAGTGGTTAGGGAGCTAAATCTTTTCTGCTTTCTGAAAGCCCGATTTTGAGCTAAACATAGATGGCGCACCATCCGTACAAACCCACATAGCCGTTCTAACCCATTTTAATCATCCCGTTTCAAAAATGGTATTTATTTTCTCCATGCTATCTTCACAAAAGAGCAACTCTTCTTTGCTATCATCCGCATGAATATAGACATAGACCAGCAACTGCGAACACGAACTCACGTCTGTTGATTTATCAACTTGAAAAGCAAACAATGGTGAAAGCTTAATTTCGATAAAAATGTGTTATTTAACATTTACGTACATGCAGCGTTTGATGAGATTTTCCCTTATTGTTTTTTTTTTGCTTGGCATTTTCTATCGCGACTTCATTTGATGCTTGCACTAATGTTGGTGAAAACTGCCAGTTCGATCAAGTCTCTGGCGTTTGCAACTAGCTTCTTGCCGACGAAAGAACTCCATATGTTTTTGGTGTGTTCCGAATGACTCGTCTCAAATGGAGTTTTAGTTTTGAAGATTTCATAGATTCGTGACTGAGAACAACTTTGTACAGTGCGCTTTGTTTCTTCTCTATTACATTTCCAGTGATGTTAATGAAGCCGAATTTTAAAAAATCTTCTAAATATTTATGTTTTGTTTCAAATTACTAAGGTTTAGTATACCAGTTGGCGACCCCCCAGAAAGACCTTCGCGACCCCCAGGGGGGTCGCGACCCCCAGGTTGGGAACCCGTGTGTTACGGTATAGACATACTGTGTATGTTTATGTATGTAACGCTATGACATACTGTGTATGTTTATGTTACGGTATGGCATAATTGTATGTTTATCTTACGGTATGACATATTGTGTATGTCAATGTTGCTATATGACTTACTGTGTATGTTTATGTTGCTGTATTACTTACTGTGTATGTTTATGTTGTTGTATGACTTACTGTGTATATTAGTGTTTCTGTTTGACTTAATATGTCTGTATGTTTATGACCTCAGTGTGCCCCTCTGAGTGGCTTCCCCTTCGTACGTGGCGCCTACTCTTGCAAATGTCGTCTGGGCTTTGAGTACTGGCACGCAGACGGCAAGGAATGGTTCGAGGGATCCTTTGTGGAACTGGAATATGAAAAGAAAAAGGCGGGAATATTTAATCGGTGAGTTCAGAACCTAGAGATGCTTATCCCAAAATGTATCCGTTTCTTTTTGTGTTATGTATAGCTATTTCTGTATTTTTGGAGATTTTAAAAACTAAAGTTTAAAATTTTATTAAAGTTATGAAAGTTTTAAATTTTGCTTTTTTGAATGTTTTTTTTTATGTGATTATTTCTACTGATAATATTTAGAAAGCCTTTTTGTACATTGGTCTAGAATCGATGTTTATTATTATTTACGACAATGTTATTTATGTCATGTGAAGCTTAGTTACTAGCCATAGCATAGCTTTTATGGCTTCTTGATTAAGTGCTGTTACTGTTTTTGTAGAATGGTTTTTCATATGCGTTTACTATGTAGCTTATATAACAGGCTGTATATGTGTTGTATGAGTTTATAGATATATGCAATACATATGTGTGCTATGTCTGGTTGTTGACTAGGTGTCATGTTTTCCATTCTTCCATCAATGAAGCTCTACAGCCCATATAGGGCTTTGGCCTTCTTCGCTACCTTCACACTTGTCTACTTTTTAAGAAGGTTTTTATCTAGCTTATTCAGTTTGTTTGTGGCCCGCAAACCCTGGAATTTTAGTTTAACCCCCCTTCCCACTGTCCGGTTGAGCTGAAATTTGGCATAGTGATAAACTTGGATGACAATGCAAGAATGTCTAATTTTTAATCAAATTAGATAGACACAGTCACTAAAAAAATGTGTTAAAAAGTAAAACAAAAAAAAAAACAAAAAAAAAACAAATTGGCTAAAAATAAAATACTGGCGCTCAGTGGTGAAAATTGAAAAGTCAATTCATTAAATTTTTAGTGCATTTTTTAAATTTTGATTTTATGTAATTTGTGAATATGAAAGCCTTTTCCCTTAAAATTTTTAATGTCAGGATTATTTCCTCAATGTCTGAATTCAAATAATCTGCATCATTCTAGAACAACACTCTTCATCTCAACATACGCTATGCATAGAAACGAGGATGTTGTTATTCTAGAACAAATGACGTCATAAGAGTGTGTTCTTGATTTCTTAATTAAGCAAATAAAAACAATTTACATAATTCAAAAATAACTTGAACCAATTTTTTTTTTTTTTGCTTTTTGTTTTTCTTTCCCGAAGGCCGCGTCTGAAGCAGAACGTTGTTGATTGTGCTAAAAATAGATGTTATAAAAATTTAACCGGAAAAAAAAATTATGAAAATATGTTGCGTGGGGATACTTCATGATAGCGATATGTGACACGGCATGTTTTATAGAAAATTGGTGTTTAAGTTAGTAATTGGACAGACGGCACTGACGTATTTGACAGCTACACGCAGACGATAATTTTAAAACAGTAAACGGCATAGTTACTAGCTGGTTTTCATTCAGTTTATATCGGGATTCATACTCTTAAGTTTATAACTTAAATTTCGTTTTTGTTTAGCTAATAACTTGTACATCTTTTTGTTTATAACTGTCTTTGTTTTTCTTCAGTTTATAACTTTATGTATTTTTCCTTTCAGTTTATAAATTTATTTCTTTTTTTCATTATATACCCTTTCTTTTTAATTTTTTAACCTGTATTTGTTGTTTTATTTCAGTTCATAACTTAATTTATCCTTCCTAAGTCAAAAACTTAAATTGTTTCTATTTTTAGGTTTGATCACATGACTTGCCGGCCATCTACCGCAACCATCCACACGTTGAGCGTGTTTGTGGTGTTACTGGGTGTCACCAGTTTGTTGATACAGATTGGTTGTTAAATTTTAGTTACAACGTGTGGTGGTAGGGTGCCAGTGACGTTAAGTGCCTAAGGGAGCTGGCATTAACTACTTTGGTGATGAGCTTAGTGGCATGGCCGGGGCTACCTATATGGTGAATTTGGCGGTCGCCTAGGACGCCATCCTTAGGGGAGGGGGGCGCAAAAATGTGTATTCGCCATTATTAAAAAGTACATAACAATTAATAACTTTGATTATCTATTATAAACTATAGATGGTAATATACAAAGGCGTAGCGATCTATTTTGGTGCCCAGGACGAACTAACCATTCCCCCCCCCTCCCAAATTAGGTCTATATAGGCCTATAATTATTCGCGTTGGTGAAAATGCACTCCCCTCCAGAGGCGTAGCAACCCTTCCCGGCGCCCGGGGACAAACTTTTCGATTTGCACCCCCCCTCTCGAGATTTTGATTTGCACCCCCCCTCAACCTTTCGATTTGCACCCCCCTCAACCTTTCAATTTATTTTTCAAACCCATTTTTGCGCCCCCTAAGGTCGGCGCCCAGGGACATATGTCCCCCCCCCCCCCGCCCCCCCCCCCCTCGCTACGGTACTGCTCCCCTCCCCCTAATTTGGAAAGGTCGGGGCACTTTTTACCAGTCAGTTTGCCTTTTTATTTTGGTATCACACAATTGATGTATAAAACAATTACATAAGTCCGTAATTTACATTTCGAACATTTCAAACGGTTATCTAATTTTAATGTTGATTTAGTGATCGATCCAGCACTTGACGGGGCGTTCCAAAACACGCGCAATTTTGTTTTTTAATACTTCTCTTTTTCTCTCACTTTGAATTAGAAATCTGTTCATGTGTAGCCTAGATCTATATAGTTTTGGAGTGACGGGATGTGTTCGAAGTATTGTCACTTGTTTGGTACGTTTTGATGAATCGTTTAGATTTGAGAGTAGCGGTGGAAGGCTGTTACTACTATGTTTAAGTAGGTATGAGATATCGGTTGTTGAAGTGTTAAAGTGTCGTATTTTTATTTGACTGTTGTCGTGTACTTGTAGGTGTAGTGTAATCTGATTGGTAGTAGAGAGATGAGAAAGTAGGTGATGAAGTATCGTTGTTATGGAGTCCAGTATTATCGAGCCTTGTGGTATTAGGGTATCGAAGTGTGTTGAAAGTTATCGTGTATTAGAAGGTCACGTTGAATCGTTGTTGATTGGGAGTATCATTTGTAGAGCTTGGTGAAGTTAAAGAGGTGGTGTCGTAGTTCTGGAGCATCGACTCTAGTTATGTTTAGGTATCGAAGTTTGATATGTGTTTGATATTTTTTTTTCGATTTATAGCTTATATAAGGCGCCGGTCAGTCGAGGTCAGTTTTGACCCCCTCTACGTAAACTTTTCGGCCAACCGGCACCGGCCCCAGTGTTCTGTCGCCCCAAGTCAGGATCCTGCCAAATTTGAAGCGCCTGCGGCGCCGGGAAGTGCCTGATGTCGGGCACCCGACAACTTTGCTTTATATATTATAGAGATTAACAAATTGCATAGATAAATACAAAGATTTCAATAAAGTAATTAAGGCCTGAAATACTTTAGTATAGAAATGTATTATTTGAATAGATTCTAGATCTAGGTAGGGTCTACATCTGTGTAAGTCTAGTTTTTCCGTAGATCTAGATCATCTAACCATAAACTTTGTTTTTATTTTTTTATTTTTTTTTTACATTTCAATAATATTTATAGTTTATAGCAGGGGTCTCCAAACTACGGCCCGCGGGCCGCATGCGGCCCGCGAGGTCCTCTCATCCGGCCCGCGGAGATCTTTTTGTCCAAGGAAAAAACGTTTGTTGGTGCTGACTGAGGAACTTTGCCCAGAACAATTAAAGACATGCCTGGAAGAAACTGGCCCCCGAACTGAAATTTGATAGTTAATGCGGCCCTCGGACTGAAAAGTTTGGAGACCCCTGGTTTATAGCAATATTTTAAACAGTTACCCGTATTTGATTTTTACTTTCTCGTATACGAAGTATAGGGCAAGTATTGTAATCGTTCAAATCTCGACGTTTTACACCTCCCAGTGTCGGAAAAACATATTTTTTCAATTTTTCCCGTATATCTGTGTGTGTATGTATGTGTGTGTATGTGTCTGTGAACACGATACCTTAAGTACCGCTACAACTAGGTTGATGAAATTTCATACACAAGTATCATATCAAATGTGTAGTTATGTTTCAACTTTTTAGCGATTTCCGATAATCGGAAGTGGAACTTATTTTACTTTTAGTTTTTCGAAAGCTTATAACTTGAGTATTGTTTCTGATAGATAAATGAAATTTCACTTGTAAGTCAAAGATCTAATTCGCAGCCTTCTATCAAATTTTGAGTAATTTCCGTTGATAGGAAGTAGTAATTTACGCTATTTCCGATTTCTAAGAAAAACGCTTATGAATTTATTAAGTACTAAAATATTGCGCACTATTATACACATACTGTTTGCCATTTACTTGGTGCGCAATTCTTTTTTCTACGAGATTCTATTCTATTTTTAAAAGTTTAAGTAATTAAAAATGGATTAAAAATCATTTCTATATCCCGAGTTGCTATCCCCCGTTGTTGTATAAAAGAATATTCGAGAAAGTTTATGTCAGGAGTCGGCAATCTTTTGAGGCGGAAAAGCTAAATGTTACAATTTTTAAAATTTCCCAGATTTCAAAGAACCACTAACATTTTTTTATTTCAATATTTTATTTTTATTAGGATTAGATATATAATTTTGATTTTTTATTTAACATAAATAGCTTTATAAATGAAATAACATTTATTCATCTAAAAACATACGCTTGTTTCGCCAGAATAACGAAATTAGTAATCAAACAATAAAAACATAGGACTATCCGATTCCAATTTAGAAGCAGTTAACTTTTTTTTCTTTTTTTTTTATCATCGGCTCAGTAGGTGTCTTCCATTAGCCAGGCAGGCCTCCATGCGGCTAACTCCGACCAACTGGCTTGGATATCGGTTTGATTACCGTGTATCGGTCACTTCTGCTCTTTGGCTCTCACCAGACTTCCACCCCACTGAACGCTGGGTAAACTCGTACCCCACCGTCCAGGATGCTAATAATTAAAAAAAAACTGCATAACTCACGTCAAATAAATGATTACTGACGGATAAGGAAATGCATTCTGAATAAAATAACATTCCACATTTAACGATATTCGAAAAAGTCGGCACTTGGGCAGTGGCAAGCATGGAACTGTTGTCACGTGTCTGTGCCCAAGCG